GGCGGGGTAGTTTCGGGTCGCCAATTCAAGCGCATGAAACTACCATCAATTCTGCAATTCGATGGCAGCTTTGCTTCAGTTCTATGGGTAGCCCATGCTCTTGCTGCGCATCTAGTTTTCAATCTGCCTTGACGACAGAGTAAATGTGGCAAACGAATGCGAGCGTCGAGTGAAACCCAACAGATCCAAGCATGAGAAAGAATGCGTAGGAAATAACCGCCATATAGCCGAAGTAGAAACTTCCTTGGATCATGCCATCCATCGATGAGCGATTGAAGAAATAGAAGAACGAATAGGCATATATGAAGGCGCCAGTGGAGCCACCGCAAAGGAGCGAGCGCCACCACCAACGATAGTCTTCACGAGCGAGCTGGAAATACACAAGCGACACCGTGATGAAAGCAGTCACCTACATCAAGATCTAAATAGAAAGTAGAATGAGATCATCAATGGGACTGTGCAAACATGCAATGACGAGCATAACAAAGGCAAGAAAGAGAATGCCAAATAAGGTGTATATTTTGTGACCCCATAATGAAGCAAATATGTAATGAAGTTCGATGTAAATGGCGCTGAAAGGCAAGAAACCAGCCATGAACCTAGGTATAAGGCGTTGGATCAAGACTTCAGGAGTCTCTAAATGTTGATACAATTCGTTGACGCAGGTCAAACATTTGGGCAGGAGGCAGGCGATACCAGGGCATCTCCGGAGGGATTTCGCGGGGCAAGCGCGTTGTGCGGCATGGTGCATGAAAGTCTGTAGAAATTTGGCGGCCAAGAATAGCACCACCAAGCGTGAAGGGGAACGCGACTAAGCCGTATAGGGCGACAACAATAATCACGGCAACCGCGGGGAGTGCAGCAGAAGACCCGTGGGCTAGTGCAACAGAGTTCACCCACACGAATACAAGTGCAAGAGGGACTGGGAAGACAAGCGCAGCGAAGAGGGCATTTGCAAGCCAGGCGTCTCCACCAAGCTGACGGAATAGACGGCCAGAGACGAAACCACCAACAGGAGCTGTGCACGCATAAAGGATAATCATGGCGGTCAGAATTGCTCCTCGTTTGGTGGGCACAAAACAATTCGTGATGGCGCATATCAGGAGAAGGAATGTTACGCAGAATAGGTGGGCACCAGCGCCGATGAGAGCGGAAAGACAACTACATAGGGGAGGAAATCGAAAGACATCACCATTTATCAACTTCCAACCGGTCTCCTCCTCCCCGATCTCATCCTCCTCTACTTCCATGTATCGTGAGAAGTCATTCTTCAATACTCGCATCATGATGATCGTAAGAAATGCAGTGAGCAGGAGCACCAGGACAAAGGAATTGATGATGGATAACCAGTGGATTTCGAACGTTCCAGGGAGAAACCGAGAATCATGATAGCGTGACATGCGTGCACCCCATTGGAGATCAGATCGTGCCACCCATTCAACACTGTAGGAGAAGGCAACCTCTGTACCATCGAATTCCTCTGTGATGTCTACCTTGCGCTGAGGGTTTGTAGACACGTTGACAGAAACCACTTGGTCCTCGTTGTAGCCGATA